GAAACTTTCAGGGTATTGACAGAGTCAAAGTGTTTTTTCAAGCCATAAGTAGCTCTAATGCAAATTGAGTATAGCTTAAGAGCTTATCGGAGGTTTTATAGGTTTATGGATTGGGGGAGTTATTGATTTACCACTCCCTTTACTAACTTAAAAACTATTAAAATATTGAAAACTTATATTCTCCTCGCAATCCTTAGAGTACAATTACGAATTCTTATTGAGCTTTAGCCGAACATCTGTCAATTTCCCGTTGTAATCACGGATAACCCCCTCGCTTCGAAGTTCAAAACTTGTAAGACAAGCTTCTGCTCTTTAAATCGCATTAGGTGGAGGATGCGAAAGGAGCTCTAATGATGTGTACGTTTTAAAGATTGAACATATTAATTAATTGCGTCTTCATTAATCACTTGAAGTTTCTCATGAGAGGTCAACCTTAAGCAAACGATCCAGAACCTCTATAACGAGGGAGCGCACTTTGAAATTTTGATTTACGATTGGAACTTTGTTAATTGTGTTGTGTTACGTCTTTTATTGCTTTTGGTTTTGACGTGCAATATTTCGTGAAAACTAATTTGTGGGGGTCTTAATTTGGCCATATAAATGATTTAAAGTAGAAAAGTCTTTTCAATTAAAAACACACTCTCTTGTTGTGTGAGAGGCAATGAAAGACAACAGTAATTGATAATAGTGGAGCCGAGAATTCGATTATTGCAATACCTGTAATTCACTTGATTAAAGGGGCGTAATTTTGACATGAAGGGAGTAGACATGTATTTTTTAATCCTCATAAAGCATCCTTTGAAACTGATCATGTTTTCTAGGCGAAAATACTGGCAGCAAAAGTATCCTATATTCCACGTCTTTGTTTTAGTTTTTTTAATTTTGAAACCTGTTTCTTCGTTTTTTTGTAATAAAACCTAGCCTAATTTTTGTAGATTGTACCCAGAAAAAGAAAGTATTTACAATAATTTAATGAACATTATGGTATCACGGCGCTAAAAATTCAGATATTAAAAAATAGGTTTTTGATAATCTTACATCGTTTATGCCTCATGTACATTCGCAAAATTTTAATGAAATTATTTACCGACAAAAATAGTTAGATTTTTAACTTTGACATTTTTTTCTCACACCCTGCCACAATTTTTGTAGGTTTTACACAGAAAAATAAGGTCTTTTGAATAACTTAACAAAAATTTTAAGTTGCTATGTGACAAAAAAGTTGCAGTTGCTCCGGGCCGTTATTTTTCGTTTTCGTATGCCTAATATAATGAATGTTGTACGTACGTACATACAAACGGAAAAAACCTTATTCGTTAAAAGATGTTATAATGATCTAAAAAGTCGACAATTGAAGAAAGCAGTGGCGTATTTACGGAGGGGGGGGGATGAAGGGGATAGCTATTAGGTATTTAGGTAATACTCCGCTATCCGCTCCGCCCACTTTAAAATAAATTCAATAATATATAGGTATATATAGAGAGCAATTTTGGTTTTGGTTAAAGTCTAAAGTCACTAAAATCTAAATATTCTGTAGTATTCAGTATTCACTATTCAGTGAGTGATCAGTGTTGGCAGTCAACGATTTGGCTATTCGGCATCGATCGGCAATTCGCTACATTGTTATACCCAAAATAACAAATAGGTATCAGGTACTTAGTATTGCTACTGAGGTAAGGTACCCGCGTCCTGCCTTTCACGAAATGACGAAAATAAGAATTTTAAATTTTAAAAACAGGAATTTTTTTGCCCATAACTTTTGATGGAGACGTCTAATCGTCTAACGTCTAAGTACGAATCGTTTTGGATTCTACGCACCCAAATTAATAAGAAAAAGTTTTTTCCCGAGAAATTTTGGTGCAGTCGATTTTTGGTAAAAAAGGAAGGTAAATAACTGCCTTTTCTTTGCCCAGAAAAAAAAATTGTCTCAGATCGACCGGAAAAAAATATTTTCTTATAGAATGTGGCCTGTAGAATCCATAATTCCAAACAGTTCCAAGATCGGACTACTAGATCAAAAGTTACAGCCCTTTGAATTTTTTGTCGAAATTGGTTTTTTTGCCCATAACTTTTGATTGAGACGTCTAATCGAAAAAGTACGAATCGTTTTGGATTCTACGCACCAAATTAATAAGAAAAAGTTTTTTCCCGAGAAATTTTGGTGCAGTCGATTTTTGGGAAAAAAGGAAGGTACACTGCCTTTTTTTTGCCCAGAAAAAAAATTGTCTCAGATCGACCGGAAAATATGTTCTTATAGAACTTCTTATAGAATGTGGCCTGTAGAATCCATAATTTCAAACAGTTCCCAGATCGGACTACTAGATCAAAAGTTACAGCCCTTTGAATTTTTTGTCGAAATTGGTTTTTTACCCATAAATATACCTATTATTCAAAGTTTTCGTTGACTTGACGCACTGGGTGACTGTATGTGCCACGAACTTGTTTAATCCCCCCCCCAGAATAAATTTCTACGTACGCCACTGGAAGAAAGTTTGACAAAAAACCCAAAAACTGTGATCGAAGTAGCCTCTTAGCTCAATCTAGGAATTTTAAAATTTTGCCTTATTCGGAAAATTCATCAATACACTTATTTGTCTGTGCAAGTGGAACCACCTTCTTTTGATAAATTTTTTTTCTTGACCTGATCTTCGTATGTGTGATACCGTAATAAAATTAGTGATACCTTACAAGTGCATACGTATATTTGAGATCCGTTATTTTTTATTTAAGCACAAAACCCCCACATTTTTCAATGTTCGAAAGTTTCTTTAGTTTTATTAGCTGTTGCAGAAGGATTCAGTATTTTTGTGTATTCTTTGCGGATGAGCATGATATGGCATCTCTTTCTTTATTGCGACAAGGGTTTTAGAACTATAAATCATGAATGCCAATTGAGATTTGAAAGAGCTGCAGTACTAAATTGGCAGCGCCCTTTGTGAGTACCCTCCTCCGACAATCTGTTTTTGATGTATATAAGGAATTATATCCGATCGCGATAAGGGGTCGAGGAGGACTATGGTTGGTAGGAATTAATTCCTTTCGTTGAAACCTTTCATTAGAGTACCGTCAAGGATAAAACCAGTTTCCCAAAGCCCCGTCTTTTGATAAGGGAGCAGAAGGAAGGGCGGTATTTAGTAGAAAACAGTTCCTTTTGTCGAGACGTTTAATTAAAATACCATGAAGGATAAAATTATAGCGCCTAATATACATTTTTTCAAACTTTGCAACCGCCCGGCAAAGTGTAAGACCCGACTAAATAAACTGGCTTATTGATTTTTTCGCTTTTTAAATAGTATATTTAAAGGTAATTTCGAAATCCGCCAAGGATATTTTTTGCAAAAATTCGTATCTTTAAAAAGTATAGGGGTTGGTTTAGCCGCGCTACTCCTCCACCAGGTCTGCAATTTTGTGTATGGGCATTATCGGAAAAGTATTGGACAAGTTTTCAGCTTGTCTCAAATGCCTACCCAAAAATGTACAGCTCTCGGACTAATATGGTTTTTCATGTTTAGACTCCTAGCTTGAGCTAGGTCTATGCTCCAAATTCAATGTTAAAAAATTATAGAAAAAATTTCTTGCCTATGACGACACACCTATAGATGAAAGTGCAAAAAATTATAATCTCGACGAATTTTGGTATCTTGGGACCTTTTCACATAAAAATAACAATTTCAAACTTTGATACCAAAAATATTTTAGAAAAATGCTGCGGAAATTCTTGGTGCAACAACGAAAAGGTTTGTCATAATTTTTACAATTTTATTCATTTTTTAAAAAAAGTTTATTGGAATTCAATTGAAGCGAGCTATACAGCCCAATATTGGCTAATGTCTAGAGCCTTTTAGTCTTTAACAGATCTGTTCTACGCTTTTCTAAGACTTTCGAATTTTTTATTCTTTACACATTGTGAAACGCCCCCAAAAGTTTTTTAATGTCTTTAAGGGCTTCCATTAGTCCCCAAATGTTTGCTCTACAAGAGTTTTCTATGGTGTCTACAGCGTTTTAGCTTACTGTTAGTAAGTACTTTAGTATTTATACGCTTTTAAAAAAGTCGGTAATCAAAATCTTAAAAAAAGTGCAAGGGGCGACGTCAAGGGTTGTCTAGAATCTTTGCTAGCTTTTAGTACCTTAAAAAGTCCTTGAAAACATTTAAGATCCTTTAAAATTTTTTAATAATTATGATTCAAAGAGTGTTTAAGAGACCTTAGGTAATCTTTTGAAAGTTGAAAGGGTCTTTGAATAGTTGAGATTTTTTTAAAATGTCCAAAAGTTTGCAAAAGTGATGATGATGAAGTGATGCTTTTAAGACCTTAAATAGACATTTAGTCTTTGAGAGTGTTTGAAAGACGAACCTTGAAAAGCCTTATAGAGCTTTTAAGTCTTCCGAGTTCTTTCAACGTTCTTTAAGAGCTCGAATTACATACATATATGTAGTCACGAGAAACCTTTACAGTCTTCTAAATACCTTACAAGGCTAGTGTGTAAGAATATTTAATAGCTTTAAGAGGTTTCCAGAGTCCTGACTCCTAAGACATCTATGAGTCGACCATAATCTCAAAGTGCCTTGAAAGTCTTTAGCTTAGGTTTCAAGCGCTGGGTTTGGGGTTGCTGTTTTTGAGGTCTTTACAGTTTTCAAGAGCCTGTCATGAAAAAATGAGCAGAAAGTACGAATCGAATACTGAAAACTGTATCTATAATCTTTTCTTACAATGATCTTGATTTTTAGATACTGTGCATTCCAATTATAAAGATCCACCCTGAATAAATCAGTTGATCTGAATACTATAAAAAACAATCACGAAACACGTGAACTTTCGTTTTCAGGGGGGCCCGTAATAATCAACCACTTGTCAGACCTTCACAGCAACACTCAAATGCCACTCGCGGGGGTGGTTAACAAGGTGTTAATTTTTGAAACAGTACACAAGTACTAATGAGTAATACAAAATCGGTCCAATTTTGCATACTATATCGTTACAAAAAAGGCTTAAAAAGTGGACAAATATTTATTAAGAATTAATTCACCTTTCAACTCCAGTTAGTCGTGGATGTCTGTACTTCTTAGATAACAGAAGACCGCCTCCCCACGCAGCCTGAAATAAAATCACCATTAGAAACTTAAAATTTGATAAGTATCGTACGTACGTCGACGTGAAGCCACATATTGTACTTTTCGCAAATGTCGGCAATCTCAGGAATTGGATCAAACGCTCCCAAAACAGTTGTGCCAGACGTGGCGCTAACGAAGAACGGTATATGACCCAAAGCTTTACGTTCTAACACCAAACGTTCCAATTCGGCCGGTATTAATCGTCCATGGATATCGGACGGCACCATTATACAGTTATCCGTACCCAAACCACATACCGAAGCGCAAGATTTAATCGAATAGTGACTCTAAAATCACCACGATTGAAGTTATTAGAAAGTCTTCATTACAAAATTACCTGATCTGAAGTGAACATTACTAATTGACCTTTAATTGAAGCGATACCCTTTTCTTTATAATTCGGGTACATTCTATGGCGCGCTGCAAGGAAAGCATACAAGTTCGATATGGACCCACCTGAAACAGATTACACTTGTAACCCCCTCGACCCAAAAGCGTCAGCTGTAAGAGATTTAATTAATCCGAATTTGAATTTCAAATTCTCTACTTACTGACTGACGTTCCTACCGTAGAGTTTAACTTACCTGGAGCTAAAATCGAATCGCCGTTCCTCCAACATTCGCCGATTATTTCCCTCATATGGGTCATAACTACGTTTTCCATTAAAATGAAAACTGGAGCGATCTCGTACGTAAACATGTTAGTGTTGGCCGTAGCGGTCAGCCATTCTCCAGCCATCGAGACTAAGTCCAAGCCGCAGGAAAGTTGGTTGAAAAAATGAGGGTGGCCTAAAATGGGAATTATTAAGAAACGTTTGAGAGTGTACGGATCAAGGGTAATCCAATAGGTCACGTGTCGTCGGTGTGGGGTGTGCATATCCCATAAGTAATGTCTTTGTTTCAAGTTCACTGACATTCAATTATTCCAAGCAATAGTCCGGGATAATGGTAGATTGATAGCTTGGATGTTGTGTGTGCGTGGTGGAATAATGCTCGATCAATTCGTGCAGTAGTTGATTTTTTCTGTAGGTGACCATCAAGTCGCTATAGAAAACTTTATACGTTTTACACGGTTTTCTTTTTAGTACAAATGCGATATTTTACGGATGACCGTACGTAAATATTGCCAAATATCCGTTTTCTGAGGGTCGTCGAAGGGTAAAATACGATGCAGTCTTCACGTGGAATGTTACACAATTTATCAGGTTTTTGAAAGCAAAGTAGATTTATTCCACGTAACATTAAGTGCTATAAAAATACGTAGGTAAGAAAGGGTGTTGTTCAAGAGTGCTGCTAAAATATTAGGCGTTTAAAATTTAAATTTGGATTTGTAAAAACGGGCAACATTCCATCAATTGTGCCAAATAACGATGTGTTCAATAATTTCTATTAAACCAATCCTGTAGCAATCTCATTTTTCTGATAGCGAGTGTATTCCCTCTAAGATAAACCATTTTTCCTGATAATATTTGGTCAGAATAGGGGGCTATAGTTTCCATGTTTACGAAAACTGTGACTGCTTTCAACATATAATTAAACTAAATGTGCGTTTGTTATTTGCTGTTCACTATTCACTAAATCCGCGTTTGCTCTAATGCTCTATAAGAAGACTGGAAGAGTAAAGAGTTCAGGGTTTATCGGCATAACAAAGGTGGTTGTTATAACATGAACATTTAGAGTTATAATAATCAAATTAAAAATAAGTGGAGCATTAAGGCTTTTCGCGAATCAAGACCCATGAATAACGCAGATGGACATAATGGAACCGAGCTGCAAAATTAATTAGGAAACATTTTCAAAATTTTTACCAAAACAGTCATCATCAATAATGTTTGCGCTCGTTTTTTAATGTTTTAATTTCTTCAGATGTACTTTCACTTATAAATAAAGTCGTTTTGGTCGTATGGTTATGAAGAAATATCGCCAAATAATATTTAAAAACTAATGAATCAAATGTCACCAGCGGTAATCATGAATTCTCGAGAAAGTTCCTCATTCGTTCTGTGAAATCTGATGCCAACGTTCCTAGAGCTTTCGTACTTTTCTATAAAGCGTGTGTGAGTTCAGTCCCAATTTCGACGCCGAAGTAATAAATAGTTCGCGTTGTTGTAAATAGTGTATATGTGAGTGATAAATAAATAAAGCACGTAATTATATTTATGTTGCACTTGTGTCAGGTGCGGTGAACAATTAGTAAACGTTTATGGCAATAGTGGCCAGATCAGAATTAATGCAAGAAATGAAAGTAGGATTTGAAGCTGGCCAACAATCAATGGAAGCTAAATTCAAAGCTGGCCAATCTGAAACAAAAGCCCGTCAATAAACCGTATAAGCTAAAATAGAAGCTGGTCAAGCGGATATGAAATCCGGTCAGCAGCCCATGGAAGCTAAAATAGAAGCAAAAATCGATGGTGGTCAGCAATCAATGGAAGCTAAAATAGAAGCAATAAATAAGAGGTATAGGTATGATTCAAGAAGAAATACAAAATGTCAAAGATGAGATACAAGGTATTCATATAGGTAGAAAACGAAATCGATGAACTACGAAGACGATTCATTGAAGAACGCGAAAAAACTGATGTGTCGTCTGTGAAAACACAAGATCTACTTGCTGTTCCACAATCGTCCCGCAAAGAAGCCCCCGAACCGTGAGAAAAGGTTGATACCTCTACAAAAGTTCGAGTTAAGTCCACCTACTGGACACAGTTTGAGGCCGTTGCATGTCCTGAGGATTGTCGACACTACTCACAACTAGAGCACAAATATGAAGAACAACCCGCATGGCACACTGCACTTGTAGATGATAACTGGCCACTATTAGACCTCCGGACAGTTCAAGAAAATGATCCTGATTTGCGTCTGATGATAAACTAGAAAATGGAAGAGAAAATATGCCAACCTGGGAAGAGGTATCTCGATATGGTCCAGTTTTAAAGGCGTTTTAGGCTCAGTGGGACTAGTTGCGGTTAGAAAATGGTCTTCTTAAGAGAGTTTTAGAAAACGATGCTGGCACGACCACAAATGTACAACTAGTGATACCGAAGGGCAGAAAGTGTGAAGTACTATGATAGATACACGATGGTATATCGGGAGCACATCTAGGAATGGCGAAAACCCTGGTTAATGGGAGCGATTCTGGTGGCTAAATTGCAAACAAGATGTAAAGGAATGGTGTCCAGTGGGAAAGAAGGCCACACTCTAGAGTCTATATTGTATGCTTTTACATAAATTTTCAACAAAAATATCAAAATCAAACGTTTTACATTCGTTCCTCAACAAAATATCTACGAATAATTAGATCTTGCTGAATCGACATGATTTTGAAGGCATGCATTCAAATATAAATATCAATTAGCGAAAACCCGAAGTCTCTAGGTGGTCCAGGTGCCGAAATCTCGAAGGAACAGACAGGCGACAGAGTGACAGACGACGGAAAATTGGGCATATAAGATTGACTGCAACTTCGTTGTGTTACGCTAAAAAGTACTAGCTTGTAGCTTCTACATCTAACGTGTTATTTATTTATTTTTCTCAACTGTCAAGAAAACCTTAAAAACCAGTAGTTTTCCCCAGGTAATGTTTCCACGAACGGTACAAGACATCCACTAACGCATTCTAAGAAAATATATGTTACAGTTTTAAAAAATGAAAAATAAAACGGAACAGATAGGTATAGAGAATGTAATATTTGTCAATATAGAATTTTTTCGATATTTGATAGTGCAAAAAAAATTCATTTTAAGAATCAACTGTTTAAGGTTGGAAGTTATTAAAGTTGACCATTAGTTTTAAAACACCCGGTAGAAGGGCGATCAAAATTTAAATCATACTCGTGTAGCAGCAAGCGAGTATTGTTAATTTTGGAAAACTTTTTGAAATTCAAGTCAACAGAGTCATAGATACAGGGCCTAAAATAAAAACAGTAAAACGTCAAAACATTTTCAAAAATCTTGAATAACTTGGAACCCCTTGATGCTGGGTATAGGGAAGTATGGTATCAAACTGCGTAGATTTTCATGTACATTTCGAAAATGTGTTAAAAACAGCGTATTTTATTTTAAAAAAAGTTGCTATCTACATTGATATTTATTAAGAAGTAGACATAGGGATTTACGTGTATTGTTTTTCCCTATCTTTTGTAAAGGGCGTCTAGTTTTATGCAATCAAAATAACTTAAGAAAACAAATAAAAATCTGGCTGCCATAATCAATTTGAAAATTGTTGCTTTGACTTCTCGTTTGTATGCGATGTATTCAACTGAAGAAAAAGTTGATATTGTCCACTGGTTTAGTGCCGGTAACAGTTTAAGGAGCGTAAGAGATTTATTTTCTGTGAAGCCAAAGTATCGACATTCAAATTAATTAATATCAAAGCATGGAACCATAAAATTAGGCGCCCTTCAGAAGAGATTTAGTCATTTAAAAGTAGACATATGGAAAAATAATACACGTAAATCCCTATGTCTACTATTAAATGAATATCACTGTATATGCGGTAAAATCGTAAGTGAAACGATCATTTTTTTTGGATAGATCATGAAAAACTATGCTAGTGTGCAAATTTTCAGATTTAAGTTATTAATGGGAGCCTGAATACTCTTAGGTAATGGTTTGCGTGATACAGCCTGTATTTTATTCTTTCTATAGAGCTGCGTTCGGTACAGATTGCAGATCGTCAAATTTGCGTAATTAGTTATATCTGAAATTATACTGAAAGACAATTGACCGTTCCATCACATACACTGGAATATAATTTTTCCACTCCGTCTTTAAGGTTTTCAGAAATTTTGTCGTTCCACTATTGATGAATGAAATGTCGCGTATCGTTATATGCCCTTTGAATTTGTGTGAGCATACCGAAACAGGTTTGTACAAAATGATTCGTTGCAGATACAAGGAAAAATGTTAGATGCAAGCTCCTTTAGAAAATTACGTGCACATATTGTGCTTTAGTGCAGGCAGGCAATAAAAAAGGCTAAATGCCGATATAACAAATTCCAAAAGCGTAGGGCAGTTTTTAATCCGGCGTGGGACGCTGACTGCAGTAGGGATAAAGAGAGGGGCGCTTTGAGTGCCCTTAATTACAGCACTCTGACGGGGTGCAAACTTCGGTGTTTATACTGAAGGGTGCAAACCATAACGCGTTATCTACAACCTACGCGAAGCTCTTCAATTCGCATATCCCACCCGCACATCAAATATAGTCCATCGCTCACGCTTTTAAATCCCCGACGCTTGCCATCCTCGTCCTCCACGCCCTAACAAAATATTTCGTATTTCAGAAATGGTTCGAAGAACGTACGTGCGCGATAGGTGCGTGCGAACTTCATGTATTTCTCGTGTTATTTTCCAAGCCGCTGGACATGATTCCGGCTATATTCAACACAGATTAGTGCAGCAGCAGCGCGATTCCTGCCACTCAAATTTTCCCCTAGACGAATACATATGCTCATTCTTAATCTTTATCGTAAAAACCAAGGAAACATCTGCATTAGTTGGTATTTGAAAAACATTTTCCTACATGCGGACTGCTAGCTGTGAAACAGTGCGTTTTACACAATCCTTGTAAATTTAATTACGACAGGAACGTCTACTTTACCAACCAAATAACTTTTTACCCTTTTAGTTAACGTTTGCTGTGAAATATACAATGATAGTGGAAATAGGAACACTTCATTGTGCACAATCCAAAGCAAATGTTCCGGGTCTTTTCACAATTATTAATTTAATTATATATAGAAATAGTAAATGCCTTGATTCTTTCTTGCTCATCAAGAGACTCATCGAACA